CGCGATAAATCCACTGAAAGTGGATAAGTTATATTATTTCTGAATAATTTCATTTAAAAAGAACTTAAAATTCAAGGTACAGTTCATGTCGATCTTACGGGTCGAGAAACTCAACCATGGCGCTGTTTGGCTTGGAGGGAGCGTTCCCCTGATTCACTGGTTTCTTTTACCAACTCCCCTTGAATTAACACGTCTCATCTTGATGGGAAGTGTATCTTGTAAGGAACTGTTTGTGTCATTGCACAGTTTTACAAGAATTTACAGGTCTTCACAGGAGGCATCGACAGTGATCGATGTCAACAAGCAAGGTGCCCCCACAAAGCCGAATTGCGCTTCAGCCATTAGCGTAAGCTGTGTGCCTTAAGGCATCAGGTCAGGAAAACAAAATGACCGCTCACCAAACTACTATGGCACCGACTGGATCCGCATATGCCCAGTAATAATAGCCGATTGTAGCACAGCTGATGGCGACTACTGACGTAATGATGTCGTTTCGCATGTCCATTGCGAGAGTCTGAATTAGAGCTAGCCGTAAATGAGATCTGGGCAATTCGAATTTCGATCCTTGGAGTAGGCTCATCTCTCGGAATGAGCCACGCATTCCGTTTACATTCTAATTTTTAGCGTATGGGCATATATGGTGTGAACATTGACATCTGCAGATTAGTTCATAGTGTGCCTTTAATCTCTCAGGCAGCGTTCAGACTTCGCGATGACGCGCGTCAAGCGCGCGACCACTGCAGTGGCTCTGCAGTGATCTAGATGGGAACGCAGCCTGCAGATGGCATAGATTGGCTGCCGGCCGCGTGTTTCGAGTGAATATAAGATAACAAGAAGGTAGACGCTGCTTTCACACAGTATGGTACTCTCCTATTCTTTCATACTCTCCCGAAACACTAGCGGCCGGCGCCGATCGATACCAGATGTGTGCTTGAGCAGTGCCTACCTACCTGCTTGCTATCTTATACATATTCACCCAGAACAGGGGTACGGCACAGTGTCGTGATATGTGGAACGGTAGTGTAGGCACGACCCCATCCCTCGAAATGAGGGTCTCGGCGCGACCACCTACCCCCCTTTCCCCAACACCCCAACACCTAACCTTACGCAATTTCCCAATTTCCAGGTTTTCACCAAAGGCGTGTTCCGTGGAGGCGGGCTAGTATTAGTCCAATGTTGAAACGGAAAATTTTTCTTAATTATCCCCAACTTCTACCACATTTCCCGGAATTTACCAAGACTTTTCCCTACCTTTCCTCCAACTCTGCAGCGAACATATACAGGGGGGGGGCAAAAAAAAAAGTCATTCCGGCCGAGTCACATATGAGCGAAGTTTTCGCAGCCCAGACAGAGGAAGTGGATATGAGTACCAGGGCGGAAGATACCCAAGATCTTCCTCTATAAGCAGGAGCGGCTGCCCGCCATTTTTTCCCCCGGACTGTCTAACCATTTCTTTCGAAATTTGTCCTAACTTTTATGTTCCGTGTTTCGAATAGGTAGGTGGCATGGAATGGGGGGGGGCCGCGGTCTTTCGGATACTCACATACAAGCCCTCTCTCCCAACAACAAAAAAGAATACAACGCGCCCCCCCTCCCCAGCGGAAGAGTACGCCCCCCCCCCTTGTTTCACACAACGATGCTGTACTCCGCTGGGGATATGCAGTATGCAAAAACGAACACAGCGTGCAAGCGGTTGAGGCGGAAACGTTGCCATCTTTTATACGTCAGTGTGGAACTATGCCTTCAAATTCTAGAGGACTGGAGGCCATTGCAGTGAAGGCCCAGGTGCGGGCAGGGTTGCAGTGGATGCACAGTCTTGTTCGTCGCGGATGGTGGAGCATATCAGGGAGCTGTGTCAGGCGCGACGCCAGTCTCTTTCAACCGATTGTTTTCGCTTGCTCTCTAAAGCAAGTGGTAGAGAATGGGCTGAAGCCGCGCCACACCCAGCCCCTGACACGCCACAGCATCCGCAGCGAACAAGACTGTGAATGATCCCATGGAGCCAAAATTAAATGAATCTACGTAAAAATTGTAAGTTCAATGCACGGGTGGATGTCAGAATGAGTAGTAAACTCCATCTGATCTTCGGAAGAAAACATGAAGGTTGAACTCACCTTCGAAGAAGTTGTTCCTCTTTTGTAGCAAACGATCATGAGAAGGAACTTCAAAGATGATCCCAGTAGCATGATCCCTATGACCAGTAAGGTTCACTTCTGGAGCTACCTGAAACTCCTTTCGTATATATTTGAAGGCTCATTTCACAAACCGTTGAAACAAGCGCTGAGGTTGCGGATAATTCACATAGGGATGTTGCGTCACCGAGAAAATATGCCTATACTTGACCGGCACAGCTGAGACGTGTCTGACCCCACCTCATAAGACTGCGTCTATACTTTGCGGCAGCGTAGCGTAGCGCTTCCAGCGTACGCCAGCGGCAGTGCTGGGGAGAGGATGCATATTGATCTAGCGTTCCCAGCGTCACCAGCGTCACGCTAGCGTTACGCCAGCGTTTCTCCAGCGTTTCATCAGCGTTTTGCTAGCGTTTGCAGCGGCAGGGGAGTAGAGACTATGGAGAGTTGGAGGGTACAAAAACGCTTCACTTTGCGCGCATCTCTTCACCTCGCCCTCCAGTTCTACCAACAATACACATCGATTCTGCGTCTCTGACGGCCACATAGTCTCTACAATACACGTCGATTCCGCGTCTCTGACGGCCACATAGTCTCTACTCCCTGCCGCTGCAACGCTAGCAAACGTGATGAAAAAGTGGTGAGCAAACGCTTGCGTAACGCTAGCGTGACGCTGGTGACGCTGGGAACGCTAGATCGATATGCATCCTCTCCCCGGCACTGCCGCTGGCGTACGCTGGAAGCGCTACGCTGCCGCAAAGTATAAACGCAGCCTGACTTCGCGGGGTCACCAATGGCCCTTGACTCCGCCGTTCGTTCTTTGGTGTAAGGCGTTTTTGTGATAATGATCTCCAAAAGACTAGGGTCGCGTGTGGGGGAAGGCGGAAAAGGGCATGGCGCAGGGTGCAGCCAGCATCGGATTCCCCATCAGGCATATCGGGCTCAAGATAACATCACTGTAAGGGAAATCTGCGCCTTGGCTGCGTGCATTCCGTGATGGTGATCATGACTGTCAGTGTGCGTCCGCTGTTCCTTCGCCGAATGCTTTGTGCGGCAGCACTAGGAAACTTTCGTACTTAGGGGGTTTCTAAACTTTTTGTTGTTTGTATGCATTTTTAGGGCACGGCGTTACTCGGAGGCAATCCTTGCCACTTTAGAGTGAGTTCGTACTTTTTCCAGCGTGTCACTTTCTGCGCTCAAAACGCACAGGATTAACGGGTCTGTAGGGTAGTGATACTTGGCTACCGTCTCCATATCGCGCCCCACTGTGCAGCGCTTGCGTCGATGCTATGGTCCCGCAGCGAAACACCCTTTCAGCGGCAGCGAACATTCAGAAGCGAAAGGGCACAGATAAGCAGCGCATTTGACTATGCTTAGGCGTGCGGCTGGTCAGGTCGTGCGCCAGTGCGGGAGACAGCACCCGGGTATCACCCTCCCGCCTCGTTTCCGTGCATTTTATACCGGAGCACGCCACTGCAGTTGCAAATCAATTCATGTCGCACAAGAAAAGGCCCTCCACGGAGTTACGTGTACATATTGTTTTTTATAGTCGAAATTTCGAGGGGGTTTTTTGACTAGCATTCCATTCATCGAAGCACTCACCTTTCCAGTGATAATTGCCGAAAATGACTGCATAATAAGAAACATATTCGCGATGCCCATGATGATAGAACATAAAATCACTCCCAGTAATTCAAGCCTGAACAATAACTTGTCGTATGGCTCCAGAGAGGCAGATTAGGCCTAAACCGGCGGTCGCATCAGCCTATGGGATAGAGTTTGTCGACGCGTTGATCAGCTAATTTCAGATCTCATGCTCAAGGTGTACATCATGCAAAGGATCTCACCGCGAACAAATGTAAAAGAAGATTGCTTACAAATTCAGTCAAACCTCAACTTTTGAACAAACTTATGGAGCGCTTCTGTGTTGCACAACGTTCACATAGCGTTTTCTGATGCGGCTCCGGGACAGTGCAATGCTGAGATACTAAATCAAGTGTCATCTTACCTTTGCCTACCGCGTGGATAATTCATAGAGTTTGTGTTCTTGATCAGCCAAAGACACAAACCTAATACCAGACCTGTCGTGATATCCATGAATGAAGTCCACAAATGTACTGAAATTGCAGGAATATCATAGACAAGGCATGTTTTAGCGTTGGAGAGAGCTTTTGTTAAACACGACATAACCCTCTCCTCCTCCCCGATTCTCTCCGGTACGAGCCCTCTTCCAGAACAAGCAAACATCTTACCCACCCGCGAAAAGTCTGCCGTCTTGCGCGGGGGGGGAGGGGTAGAACAAGGCACATCGTTGGTTGGGGATTTTGGTCAACTCCGTACAACGACCCCCCGTTTTTAAGGGAGTGGTACGACCCCCACCCCCCGCTCCCACCCTATGTCATTCCTCATCGAGCTGTCGAGCGAGGAGGGCTATCAGAAACTATCAGAATAAGTTTTTTTTCAACCAATACGACCGCTCACCCCCTTCTACCGCGACCGAAACTACGACCCCCCTCCCCTGTTGTGGATTCCCCATCAACAGTGTGCCCTGGGGCAGAAGGTGGTATACCACTAGGGTGTGTATAGTGTCCGTGAAACTGGAAAAATCAACAACCAAAGAAATGTTTCTCAGCCCGAAGCCCGCTCGCCTTTTAGTGACAGACGTACGACCCCCGCGGGTCCCACCGATACGGCGCGCCAGCTTGTCATATACAGGGGGGGGTCAAAAGTCATTTTGCGCTCCATGACTTTCAAGGCGCTATAAGTTACACTTTATTGAATTTTTATCGGACATTTTTACTACCATATTAAAGAGCACATTAAATACTATAATGATACTCCGCCACAGCCTTCTGGAGGAGCGCCATCGAGAGATTCGGCCGCGCGAAAGTGAGTGGGTACCGGAGTTGAGCGAGATCGTTGATTTCTCCGCCACTGTAGACCACCCTGTTGAGCTCCGCCCGAACCGAGTAATTGAGGGGTTTAGTTCAGGACCCCCGCTTAAATACTCCATCTTTTCCAGGTACTCAACGTTCTTCCATTCCAAGTAGGCGAAAGTTTTTCCAACGCCCTTCGATTAAATGTGTTGTCACCCAATCCTGTAGCAGTACAAAGTTTCCAAGAAGGTACGGGCGACGACATGAAGATGGGATATTCTCCTCGAGTGCTCCGATGTAGCGCACCAGCGCACACCCTCAGTCTGGGGCCCACGAAGAAAAATATCGGTCGTTATCCATTCCAGGTACGGCCGGTCCACACCATCAACCCGCGCCTTGGTGAATGGGGTGAAGATGATGTCCTGGACCGTAGCGACGTTGCCGGAGCTGCTCGATGTTTGAGGTCTTGCAGATCAAGAGTACTGGTCTCCAGGTGGATAGGTGGATAGCTATCCATGGGTGATTCCATTCAAGAAGTTCCGCAGCTGTTTGGAGGCCACGTGAATTCTCCACTCAGGCCGCGACTGGAGATGACTTCATATTTTGGTGTACATGAAGGTGATGGCGCAGCCGGCTCCTGCTTATAGAGGAAGATCTTGGGTATCTTCCGCCCTGGTACTCATATCCACTTCCTCTGTCTGGGCTGCGAAAACTTCGCTCATATGTGACTCGGCCGGAATGACTTTTTTTGCCCCCCCCCTGTCATTTTTTGGCCCCCCCCCTGTACATATTGCGATAGACGTGCTAAGATAGGAGGTGTCTCAATGTCGGAAATGTTTATCGAAGGCGTGAGCACGTCAGCGGGGAGGCGGAGCCTCCATTTTCACGTCATTGGTGGGAAGGTGTTAGGCCACACCTCTCGGCGAGCTGGAGGATATGTCCCCACTCCGTTACAACTTTGACGCTAGACTGTTAGACCAGCCTATCGTTGATATCGTCGCAATCAGTCCAGCGCTGTCAGGAGGCATGAAATAAGCCCAAATGCAACGTTTTCTACCACTGGTTGCTTACTTCCTGCATCGATCACTAACCGATCACGATTGGTAGAAAACGCAGCCGGGGAGGATTCACCCCTCCCCTCCCCCCCCCGTTACCGTCCCGACAACTATAAACGATTTCAAAGCATAACAACTAATTAATTACCTTACAATCGATAGCGACCCTGTAACTACAGATGCAAATAGGTTTATAAAGAGGAGCATTATGTTCAATGTAAGCGTGATTCTTGCAAGAAATCGATCGGGTTCGAATTCGCGCTGTAACGAGATGAATCAGTAATAGATGAGGTAAGGAAACGTAGATTCAAAATACCATTAGACCCACCTCAAGGAACGCTTCATCGCCATCAAGGATTCGGTTATCTTGCTCATACACCTCCATAAGTTCTTCTAACTCTCTGTAGTACTAAAATTTCAATATTTGTGCTTATGAGAGAATTACAGCCTTGTTCGCTGCGGAGCTGAGGCGTTTCAAGGGGCTCTGTTTGCTGCGTGCCAGCCTT